GGGGGGAATCAGAAGGGAAGCAAGGGAAAATAACACCGCAGGAAGGTAGATTTTCTTATTTTTTGCTTTTAGGAGCCCCTGATATCACATCCACCTGCTGGGTAAACGTTCAGTAAAAAACAGGGTGAGGGGAAGAGATAGATTGTAATTACAAAGGAAGGGGGGGAAAGGAATGTGGAAACAGACAGAAGGAGGCCAAACAGACAGGAGGAGGAAGTAAAGGGAGGGGGGGACAATCCGCAAGGTGAGAGGAGATCGGGAAAGAGAGGAGAGAGGGTCCCGGCTCCCAATCCGACCAGCCCATCCACAGTGACCTCGGGTTTCTGCCTCCAGCACCTGGCTTTATGTTTTACAACCCATGTGGGCCGGGCCGACAAAGTGACATCTATAGGAGATCCGGCCCTCGTAAGAAATGAGGCCTGACACCTTTGTAAAAAGGTCTAGTATACATTCAAAAAGTGAACCGAAATGCAGAAGTGAGAGGGCGACATCCCAATCGGCACTGGGCCAGGCCCCCCCCCCGCTCCTCCCATACGACCCATAATTCCTATGCCCCTGCTCCCTCCCCCCCCCTTGGGGCGATCTGCTGTGTAGACACCCCCCACACTAAGACCCCTTCTGCACATTTGTTCGGGTACGTCAACAGCTTCTTCATAATAATAATAATAATAATAATAATAATAATAGTAATAGTAATAGTAATAATAATAAATTTATATATTGCCCTCCCCGGAAGGGCTCAGGTCGGTGTACAACAATCAGGCCTAAACAAGTTAATAACAATAATTAGAAAATAGTGAATGGTTAATAGCAGATAATAGCAGATTCAGAAGAGTTGAATCCTGACTATGGTTATACCCTGGGAAAGCCAGGACTTCCTCAAGAAGGTGCTGGATATTTTATACTGGCATACTGTATGCACCAGATTGCACCAGAAATTCAGCAAATTCACAATCACATGCAACACCGCTCCATGCTGGGGTGGGGAGGAGGTAAGATGTGGTCCCATGAGAACATTCGGGGGTTGCTTTCAGTCGTATCTCTAGCAGAAGGGCGTATAAGAGAAGAAGAGATTGGATTTCTACCCTGCCCTTCACTACCCAAAGGTGTCTCCGAGTGGCTTACAAACTCCTTTCCCTTCCCCTCCCCACAAGAGACACCCTGTGAGGTAGGTGGGGCTGAGAGAGCTCTGACAGAAACTGCTCTTTTTCAAGGACAGCTCTTACCAGAACTACGGCTTGCCCAAGGTCATTCAGCCAGGTGCAAGTGGAGGAGTGGGAAATCAACCCCAGTTCTCCCAGATTAGAGTCCGTGCACTTAACCACTGCACCAAACATGAGACAAAGATTCCGGATGTGACCTTGTTTTGAAAAGGACAATTTCACATGATTATCATGGTGATAACGCAAATGTAACTATTACAGTAGTTACATTTGAGTTATCACCATGATAATCATGTGAAATTGTCCTTTTCGAAACAAGGCCACATCCAGAATCGTCTCACGACTAATGTGTATTATTGATTCCACGGCTGTATACAGAGTCTGGAGCCACATTGTTGATGAAGAGGCTTACAATGTCTCTATAACTGTTTATATATTGACTTGTACTATATGAGTCCTTCAGTGTTATGAGACAAGTTTCGTTTATGATTTTTTGCTGTATGTGTTGTACATTGATTGCTATATTTATGGTCTTTTAGACATTTGATAATATTGTTAATAAAGTTTCTATTTTAGAGCAGCTTAGGGCTACACAGTGTTTATATGCCCTTCTACTGATTTGGCTGTGTTCACGGTCTTTTTGAATCATATCTCTGCCATTAGGGCCGCCAAGTCCCCCTGGGGGGTGGGGAAACCCCCACCCCAGAGGCCCGTTCCCCGCCGCCGGCAGATCGGGTCCCAGGGGGAACCCCACCCCGACGTGCGCGTCACCAGGAAGTGACGTTAGGACGCCGAGCACGTTGGGGGCGGGGCCACGACCATCGGAGGGAAAACTCTATGTTTTTCCCTCCGATGGTCGTGGCCCCGCCCCCAGCGTGCCCGGCGTCCTAACGTCACTTCTGGGTGATGCGTGTGTGGCGCGCACGAGCTCCAGTCGCCGCCCAGGAGTCCCCCGCTGCGGCGACTGCAACGACTTGGCAACCCTATCTGCCATAAAGCACATGCTTGGCTTTGCAGGCACAGAGAGGCGGCGGCATCAAGGCCTGGCACCTATAGTTAAACGGATCTCAGGTGAAACAGACCTAGCAAACGCCCTGGCCAGAAAGACTCTGCCTTCCCGAGAGGACAATACTGGGCTAGACTTGGCATCAGGGCCACAGGAGTAGGCAGAACGGAACTGCCTCTTGTCCCAGGTTGAAGATCTACAGGTACCATTTCAGCATCCACAATTCATCCAAGAAGAAGATTAGATTTATACCCCGCCCTTCACTTGGAGTCTCAGAGCGGCTTACAAACTCCTTTCCCTTCCCCTCCCCACAACAAACACCCTGTGAGGTGGGTGGGGCTGAGAGAGCTCTGACACAAACTGCTCTTTTCCAAGGACAGCTGTGCCAGAGCTTGTGACTGACCCAAGGTCACATCAGCAGGTGCAGGTGGAGGAGTGGGGAATCAAACCCGGTTCTCCCAGATTAGAGTCTGCGCACTTAACCACCACACCAAACTGGCTCTTTTCAGGGCAAACCGTGAGTTTAACAAGGCCACGGACATTCACCAGCCATTCCAAGGAAGGCGTAGACAACCCAAGACAGGTATCTTCAGCCCCTACCTGCCAATCCCTCCTCTTCATCAGAGCCCAGGAGAAACGGCCCTTCCTTTTCTTCCAGCCGGGATATGAGGTCTGGTTTGGCAATCAGAGGTCCTGTTTATCGGGGGGGGGGACACACAACAAAATTAGACCTTTTCTGTGTGCCCATAAATTCCGCAATTCCAAGCTAGATTGACGGTCCCTCCAGAAACACACAACAGGCAAGTAATGGGGCTGGGATGGAGGACTGTATGGGGTCAAGACTTGTCCCTGTTTTGTTATCCTGAGACTCTGTAGGAGCATGGGTATCTGGCCATGCACCCATGTACACTCAACTCTGGGCCTCGTGGGACCTCAGCCTCTATATGCACTGACCGCACACGGGCACAGCATTTCCTCAAAAAGTAGGGAGACGATCCTTTTAAAAGAATTGACTCTGATTAAGTGTAAAGCAATAGACTGGAGGCCGGACAGAAAGGAGAGTTTTAAAGGCAGCTGGCACTCAAAACACTTAAAATATCTATCTGGGTCATTCCGAATTCAACAATTACTAATATCTTTGAAGACTACGATGGCCAATTATGGCTCACCCAGGGCCTAGTCTGTGAGAGAGTTGTGGGGTTGCGTGCAGTCTCTGAAGAACGTGACAGAAGGACGGCTGGATAAGAGAGGGAAAGAACAGAAGAACAGAAGAGAAGCCAGTGTTGGATCAGGCCAAAGGCCCATCCAGTTCAACACTCTGTCACACAGCAGGCAAAAGTACCAGGTGCCATCAGTAGGTCCAGCAGTGGGGCCAGGGCACTAGAAGCCCTCTGTTGCCCCCACAAGCACCAAGAATACAGAGCATCCCTTGCCCCAGAGTCCCTATCTATACCTTGTGGCTAATAGCCACTGATGAATCTCTGCTTCATATGTTTATCCAGTTCCCTCTTGAAGCTGTCTATGCTTGTAGCTGCCACCACCTCCTGTGGCAGTGAATTCCATGTGTGAATCACTCTTTGGGTGAAGTACTTCCTTCTTCACCCAAGGGAATGAATCACTGCATAGAGGAGGCCTGGGGGATCCAAGGAGGGAGAGAGTTATGTTGGAAACCATGGCCAGGAAGGGGGGGCAGACAGGAGCCAGGGAACCGGGGGATCCGGAGGGACACTACCCAGCAGAAACCAGGAACAGCGTCAGAGCAATGGGGAGAAATACTACGGGGATCATGGGCCATAGTGAGAGAAAGAGGGAGGAAGTAGATCATAGCTGCCAGTTCAAAAGCACGACTGTCCCATTTGTGGTTCCCAGGTTCCCCCTGGCCATGGGGCAGGGGACGGGAGGTAGGGTTGTCAGACGCACAATGGGAAACTCTTGGAGGTTTGGGGCTGGAGCCCGAGGAGGACAGGGACCTCAGTGGGGTACAAGGCCATAGAGTCCAGCCTCCAAACCGTCCTTTTTCGACAATGCTCCCATCAAATCCCTGGACAGAACTGCTCTCAACCACACTCTTCTTTCAAAGTGGTATGTTTATTGAGGCATTGCTTTGCTCCAGCCTGGACACCTTCCATGTCAGTACTGGGGACTGAGGCGCGGAAGTTACCCAGCTCAAGCAGGTCCCCACCAATGTTCCCTCTAAGTTGTGGAGTCTTGTGAGCAAAAATTCTACTTTGTGAGCTACTGGCATTAAAGTTGTGAGCGAGCGATTTGGCTACTGCCTAAATTAGCTTGCTCTCGAGCCATCCTTCCTGAGCAAAGCCAAAAATGTGTGAGCTGGGGGCTAAAAAACTGTGAGCTGGCTCGCACTAATTCAGCTTAGAAGGAACACTGGTCCCCACAAAGGCTCTTGCCCAATCAATCACTGGCACACGGCCCGCCAAAAGCAACGCATCACCCCCCATCCTAGATGTAATGCTACCCCATAATATTTGTAACGACTACGGCTAGACCAGGCAGGGATGGAAGTCAATTTTGATAATGCCGGCTGTAGCTAAAAGCCTTATTGCCCAACATTGGAAAAGGAATGTTTCCCCTGCCATTGAGTATTGGCATGCTAATATATGGGAATACTGTATTTTAGACAAGGTAACAGACAGTATATCCAGAGCCAATGGTGATCTAATAAGCGTTGACTTAAGTGAAAAATGGCTCCCATTAATAAGACATCTTTGGAGCTATTCATCTCAAAATACTGCTAAATGGAAAAATGATTTATTTCCCTATTGTCTCCATACATTGATCTCTTATATACTATACCTGACGTGCAGCACCAATATGTTATACTGCATCGACAGGTTATGTTCTTTTATAATTTCTTCCTTGCTCAATCTGATTCCAAAGTGATACCTATAATTATGCTCTCTCCAACTGCTACGTTTATATTTTTAGATCACTTCAATTGTAGCATAATTGTTAGTCCGTGTATTAATGTTCTGAATGGAATTTTAATGGAATTTTCTCAATAAAACTTTAAAATTAAAAAAAGAAAAGGTTACATTCTTCCCAGAGGGAGATAAGACTTGTGCGGTTTCAGAGCAGAGCAGAGCAAGGCGAAATGTAAGCATCCCCCACATGCTCACCACTCATGTGCTACCACCACCACCCCTACATTCTATACAGCAAATGATAACTGAGTTTGACAGCTCCCTCTAAGATGTGGAGTCCTGTGAGCAATGTTCCCTCTAAGCTATGGAGTTCTTTGAGCACAAATTCTACTTTGAGAGCTACTGACATTAAAGTTGTGAGCAGGTGATTTGGCTCCTGCATAAATTAGTTTGCCCTGGAGCCATCCTTCCTGAGCTAAGACAGAAATGTGTGAGCTGGAGGCTAAAAAACTGTGAGCTAGCTCACACTAACTCAGCTTAGAGGGAACACTGCCTGTGAGCAAAAATTCTACTTCGTGAGCTGCTGGCATTCAAGTTGTGAGTGAGCGATTTGGCTGCTGCACAAATTAGTTTGCTCTGGAGCCATCCCTTCCTGAGCAAAGACAAAAATGTGTGAGCCGGAGGCTAAAAAACTGTGAGCTGGCTCACTCTAACTCAGCTTAGAGGGAACACTCTGGAGGTGAGCTGTCATTCCAGGGGATCCCACCTGGAGGCCGGCATCCCTGGTCCCTTTAGGGGCACGAGTGGATTAGATGGAAGAACCTGACCTGAAATGTACGGGCCGAGTGCCAGGCCTTTTATCATTCATCCCCCATACCACTTGGGGGGAGGGTTGTCCTGTGGCAGTGGAATTAAATCACACAGTCATATTTGCCAGTTCCGGGATTCAGGTCACTTATTTCCTTTGCCCACATCTGTTTGGAACAATGCGAACTATGATCTGAGATTCACTCAAAAACAGCCATTCAGGACTTGCTTACAGATCTGTTAAGGAACCTGTAAGACGAGTCTGTCCCTTTATAACTATCTCAGGAAGCAAACCAGGCTGTTTGCTTGAATGTGTTAAGACATTTAGCCGAAGAAAATCCCTTGACGTCTTCAGCAGTATTTGTCCTTCACTGTCACAAAAAACGACCATTTTTTATTGCTGGAATCTGGAAAAGTCAGTATTGTGTGCTTTCAAAAAACAGCAGGAGCTTTCTTACAAGGGGGTCTCCAGAAAGCTCATTTTAGATTTTAAAGATTTTGGCAATTATTTCCTCCAAGTCTGATCAAGCGTCTTCTTCCTCTTGGGCCTTTGGGCATCTTTTCTCTGAGAATAAAACCAAGGCTGGGGGGGGGGGACACGACAGGACTTTAAGCTAAACCGTTTTCAATCTTGTGGGTCAGCTTGAGACCCTAGAATGCTAGAGGGGTGCTGGCATAACACTGGCAGTTCTGTGCCTGTTCCATGCCATGAGCAGAGGTCCATCAGTGGCTATTAGCCACACGGTATAGATAAGGGGCTCTGGGGCAAGTGATGCTCTGTCTTCTTGGTGCTTGGGGGGGGTCAACAGTAGGAGGGCTTCTAATGTCCTGGCCCCACTGGTGGACCTCCTGATGGCACCTGGTATTTCTGGCCACTGCGTGACACAGAGTGTTGGGCTGGATGGGCCTTTGGCCTGATCCAACATTGGCGTCTCTCATGTTCTTATGTTCACGCCAAGCTGAGATGGAAATGCCAGATGAGAACTAAAATGACAAGAAAAGGCGGCAGAGTTCCTTCCACAGCCACTTCTCAGCCCGGGGAAGGCCAGGCCCAGACTGGAGGGAAGCTCATGTGGCTCAGACCCAGGACTGCCAGTCAGGGGCTCCCCCTCTCGGCAAGGAGGGCACAGGACCCTCCCCAGGTCAGAGGGAGGATCGCGGAGGGAGTGAGAGACCAGCCACTGGGACCAGGGCAGATAGCCTGACCACGTCCCTCCTCCTTCAGGGCTTCTTTATGGCCCCGCCTCACTGCAAGAAGGAGAGAAGGGCTCCTCCTCACCCAGAGAGGCCACGTTCCCAAAGTTCTCCAGCATGACGTCCTTGTAGAGAGACCTCTGGGCCGGGCGCAGCAGGGTCCACTCCCCCTGGGTGAAGTACACGGCCACCTCCTCAAAGGACACCCCGGCCTGCAAGGAGGAGAAGGAAGCGTCTCTTTACGTCATTGGAAATCTGGTCCATGAGGGTGGAAGCCAAAAACAGAGTTAACTAATAGGGGAAGAGCAGCACAAAGAGATGGTGAGAAGAGCCCCCCTGGGGACATCTCCCCTCCCCCAATCCCTCCTTGGGAGCATCTTGGAACTTGCGGGGGGGGGGGGTCTTCAGCCGCAGTGGGCTGGCAGCCTTCTAGGGAGGAGGCCAGAGATATCCGGATGATACAGGACAAAATAGGTTTCCGTGGGAAATTCAAGTATTGTTATGGAGGCATTTGAGCCATATCAAAAATAATATTCTAATTGTCCTGTTTCTTGGGAAAAACCATCCTAGACGGGGGGGGGGTGACCATTTTTCTGCCTTCCCAGTGGGGAACACAAGAATTAAGGGGAAGGAGCCCGATCCTCTGAGTATTACCACAGAGAAGAGAGCATCCTTATTGCCTGCCGCACAGGTCCCCAATGATGCCCCCCCCCAATACCTGAGCTGGCTGCATGGCGGCTCTTTCCCCTTCAGTGCACAGAGAAGACGGCGGAGGAGGCATCCAGGGGGTCCTCCTGTCTGGGAGGGAGAGGAAGAAAGAAAGAGGGTGGGAAACCCGTTTTGCCCCACACACATTTTCTCTGCACGAGGCTCCACAGCTTAGAGGGAGCATTGGCAAGCGCTGCAAGGTGCCGTGTGGAAGCAGGAAAAATGAATCCTCCAAAGCGCAAACCTGGAGCAGATCACCGGTGGGGAGGAGAGCCGACACACTCTTGCTTCCATTTCCCCCAGGAGGAACATTTGCTTCAAAAATCTCCCTTTGCACCCCTCAGGTTCTGTTTTGTGTAGGCCTTCTGAGGGCCAAGTGACACAGCCCCTGCGCCCCCTTTAAAAAAACCCTTGCCAGCTCCCTCCACCATTCCTTCAACCCCTCCGCCCCTCCCCCCAAAAATCTCCAACTCAGCCCCCCCCTCCCCCCCAAATCTCACCCACC